ATGCAAACATTCCTTAAAGTGCCTTCCTTCTCTGGTAAATCTTGCAGCTAACGAAGACAAATGATATGAAAGCAGTTGGGGACTATGCCTATTAACCTGGCCACTGCAAGCCATTTTATTATAGGTGTCATAAGGAAGAGGCATCTTCCTCATGGGATTTGTAGAAGATGGTTATGATTCAGGATGGCATTTCTATTTCTGATAGTAGTCCATAAATATGAGCATTGATTCTTCTTTGCCTCTGTGAGACTCTAGCTTATGCTTAGGTAAACTTCAGCTTAAATCCTTTCCTGAGTTAGATGAAAAGATATAGAAGAGCTAAAAATAGTTTATAACTAAAGTGCAAGACTAGGTGTAATTGTATGGAAAAGAATGAAGGAAGCAACCTAGTAAATGAAAATAGTCTGTGTTGACCTCTGTAGAGATGGTTCCCATCTGGGAAGTTTGTGGTCCTAGAGTTGCTACTGGAAAGTGAAAGTTGTCCTTGCCTCCCTTATTGCTGGGCTGTTCAGAAACACTAATGAAATGAAAATAAATTTGTACTGACTGCATATTGTGTTGTTGGTTTCCTGTAGTCAGTGTATATTGAATCAAACTACAGTTAAACCTTATTAACGACTATGAATAAACAAAATAAATAAAAAATTAAAACCTTAACTGTGATTCAAAGCTTCGGTTTATTATTCTCTCTGAAAGATAACTCTTGTGTGTTTTGGTCACAGCCTCAGGTACATCCCAAAGCATCATGTATCCATAAAATGTGGCTACCTTTGGTTCATAATGGGGGCTGGAGAACTGCTGCAGGAGGTAATCCTTGATAATCCTGTTAATGCTTTCAGTCAGAAAGTAGCCACAGATATGAAAGTGGCAAAGTGGAAGTGCTGAATTAATTGCAGTAAATCTTCTATGGGCAGGATTTCAGTTGCACAGCACTGGGGCCAAAATTACTTATTGTTCCTTCAGTAGTCTTAAAATGGGGTGGATTTGGCAGTGACTGGCAGAGTGAGAGTTACAGGCAACAGACCAAATAAATCTCTTCTCTGAGGTCAGTAAACCAGTGTCAAGAATGAATCTAACCTGCTGTGTCACTGAGTTCTGCTTAAGGATAGCTCTTCTAAAGGTTTACTACTGACATATTTTAAGGCAATTAGTGGGCATTATGTTTGTAGTGAGTGAAGACAAAAATAGAAAATTTGGTTTGATTTCTAAATCTTACCTTCATCTCTTCACAGTGATCATTCTTTATTATGAGAATTTTGTTTCATTGCCATGCAGAAAGTTAAGCTGTGTGAGTCATGGACAGAATGGTTTGCTTTTAATAAATGGAAGTGAATACGGTAACAATAAAAAAAAAAAAAAGAAAAAAAATCAGTTAGACTCCAAACCCATCTGCCCGTCTAGACAGATAGTGCCAAGCTCCTGTCTGCTAAGAAGTATCTTCTTAATAATGCTGTATTAATGCTAGTACTTTTATAGTGCTTGCCATTTTTCAAAGTGCTATGCCCAGCTAATTCATCGTTGGCTGGACTTAAGACGGCTTTTTGCTGAGTTTGATAGCATTTTTGTGTTTTGCTTTTCTGTTATGTGCTATTTTGAATGCCATGTCCAATCAATTAGGGAATCACAAGAATGTTTTAGGCATCAGTTCCCAGAGCTGGGCAATAATCCTTGTCCCTGTTCTTCCAGGGTTGCCTATTCATCTTTTCCTGGCAGAGACCATGTGTCTCCCCATTCCTCTCCCTTATAAAAAAAGTCCTTGTAGTGGCCAAATGCTTTGCACAGGCCTCTTTTCCTTACAACTGTTTTCCTCTGAGTGGAACCCCATGGGGAAGGGGTGTGTGTGGGTGTGGGGGTGTCTGTGTGTTGACACCTTTTCCTTCCCCACCTCTAATTTACCTGCTTCATGTCAGAGGCTGTGTTTGCTATTATTCTTCCGTGGCTCTTTCTTCCTCTCTTTGAAGGGCTTTCCCAAGCAAGTTGTAAGTGTTCACCAAAGGTGAGAAACTGAAACAGCAAAAGGGGTGGATGGATAGAGAAGAGAATGGAAGACAGAACTTTCCACCTGTTTTACCCCTTTTATCAGCTATGTGTCTTTCTCCTGAGTGACACTGACTCTTGCTCATGTAGTTGGGTCCTGCCATCTCAATACAAAAAATGGAGAAAATACAGGGAAGGCATATGGTACGAGGGGAAGGAAACTGCTTTGGAGGGAAGATGAAGAGATGCCTCTTGTAAGGGCTGAGGAGGAATAGATGGTTGGGAAATCCCTGGCAAATAGGTATGGTGCTATATGGTGCTAGAGAGGGGGGAGAATGGGCCAGACTGGATATGAGAAGAGGAAAGCGGATGGTGTAACAGGAGCAGGCTGGGAGAGGTGTTTTGCAGGCACTGAAATGGAGAGGAGAAGGTGTGTGGGTAGTGGCACGCAGGGAGCTCATGTCTAGAGCAGCAGGGTGTGGGGGGTCCAAGGGCTGTGCATTCAGAGTGACTGCCAGTGTGTGGCATCCTGCATCCCATCCAAGCTGTGCTGTTTTAAATAAGCAGAATGTAGGAGTCAAAGGCTCCTCCATGGCAGGCAGCAAGGGCTGCATGACTTGCTGCCAGCAGGGCCTTATGTGGAGGTGAGAAGGGACTGCCTTGGGCTGCACCAAGCCTGATGTGTTGGGAGTTAAGATGAATGGAATTCAAATGGAACTATTTGCTCCTGACATCTAGGTCTGAAGCACCACTTCCAGAAAGAAAAGAAAATAGCAAAAATAAAATTATTGTCCTATAGTGAGGCAGGAGACTGGTCTCTTCTCGTGCTACCTGGATTTGTCATCTGGTGTCTTCCTTTTGTGTAAATGGACACTGCTTTAATTCCAGTGAAGTGCAGGGGGATTATTCACATTTTCCACCCGTGCAAGAAGAGTATGGATTCAGGCTTGTGATAAATTACTGAAAAAACATTAAAAAAATTAAAATGCTGATTCATGGAAACCTGAACTTCCTTGGAGCTTCCTTCTGACAAAAGTCATAACAAGCTGGGCAACAAACCCACTTTGGAATTAGAAATTAACATTTGAAAATTAAAAGCGAAGAATACTGTGAGTGTTGACAGCACTGAAACTTTGGCCCCTATTGGTAGCCCAGAGGTACCAGCTGCCTTTAATCTGTTGCAAAGATTTCTTGTTTGTAGGAGCAGCCTGTTAATACCACTTGATGCTTTGAGGTTAAATCAATGTGCTGGAAGCCTTCTAGAGCCTCAGATGAAAGATGCCATTATGTATGCAGAATATCTACAAAAGGGATCACAGAGAATAGTGTAACTGTGGGGTAAATCTGCCTGCAGTACTGCTCAAGGATGACATGGATGGCTGGGGAGCACTAATATTCCTGTGATGTGTCTGCATAAAAGTGATGTCAACGCTTTCCTCTGTAATGGGCAGTGCAAGAGCTGCCAGAGGTTGAGCTGGTAAATTCTTGATTTTTTTTTCACAAACATTTATTGAGTCTCCTAGTTTGTTTTGAGACTCAAATTGATTCAGAGCAAGTCAGTCCTTTTCTTACTTTCCTCTTGTTTTGGTTTTTTTTCTTTTTCAAATCAAATCTTTTTAACTCTAATGTGTGTCTTAGCTGTCAAGTCCATTCCCTTGTGATTTGTGATGGCTTCCAGAGCTCCTGGTGGAAAAGAGTATATAAGTCTTGTTATTTCAACTGCGTGACCAAAGGTAGCCCTCTCTTAGCTGATGGCCTGCTTTTTCCTTTTGAACTCTCTTTCCTTCTCAGCCACATTACGGTGTGCCAGATCTGCTCTACAGCACTCTTGCATAGCAGGTGAAGAGGGCGGTGTGTGTGTCTGGCTACGATTCCATGTGAAATACAGAACAGCACAGTTTTCAGGTCTGAGAAATGGTGTGCTTCTGCCTACTGTCAAAATCTCCTCTTCTTAAATCCCCCAGAGATGCTGCTAATTAAAAGAGTTATTCCCTGTCCCTCCCTCTCCCCTTGATTCATGTCAAGGCCCTGAATATGATTTGGATCTCATAAGTTTTGGGAGCTTTTTAAGTGCCCTATCTAAAGAGAAGATAACAAGCCTCATTTCTTGTTACTCGCTGTACCAGGATTGAAGGTGCAGCATCAGAGTGTGTTGATCTGTCACTCCTCTGCAGCCAAGCCGTCCCTGCCTTTCCTGTGGTCAATTCCTCCTACACAAAAGAGCATATTCAGCTGCTTCTGGTCCCCCAGAGAAGCAAATGAGCAGTGCCTCTGAGCATGGTGATGCAGCAGTCTCAAACCCAACAGCCGCTCCTATGTGTTTAGAGGGGAGAAGTCAGTTTTGTGCTCTAAGAGGAGCTATGCATTTACCACACTGGAATGGTGCAAGTAGGATTAATCCCCTCCCAAAATGCTTTTGTATGCACTACAAATTTTTTATGCCTTCTGACATGTGGCATGTTGTGGTCTGTACTGGAGTACAAACTTCAAAGTCCTCTTCAGTTTCACATTATCCCTTTTGGATCAGGATCTGATGTGCAACAGGACTTTTATTTTTTTTTTTACATTTTGGCAATCTTCTTGAGTGAAATACGGTTCATATTTTCAGAACATGTAGTTTGTCACTGAAAATTAAAATTGAAAAGGTTGGTAACATGCCCCCCATCAAAACACCCAGATGTAATTCAAAGCCAGACCTTGCCAGCTCACAGCTTGCTGCTTTTAAGTTGACAGGGAGCTTCTCAATCGCAGGGGTTTGCCTGAAACTGCTGAAGCTACACTCATCTCCCTAAATACACGGATTCATTTAGCTGAGCCAAAAACCGGCCGAATCCCTCCAGACACAGGTGGGGATCCCTGTGCTGGCGGGGTGGCTTTATGCAGTGCCCGGGGAGCAGCCTTCGGTGGCTCAGGGAGTAAGGCAGGCGGGAAGGCTGCATCCACAAACCTGCTGGCATCCAGCTTTTGCCGCTCTCCCCTGCGTACAGTTCTTTTTTTTTTTTTTCTTCCCCCTTTTCCCTCCCTCTCTCCGGAGGAGCCTCGGCAGCCCTGATTTGCTGGGGAGCGGCGGAGGCTCGCTCTGGGCAGAGCCGGGCTGCGCTGCCGCTGCTGACGCGTGGCCGCCGCCGCGCCGGGAGCAGCCCCGCGCCCGCCGCCCCCGCTGCGCTCCGCGGCCGAGGAACCTCCGCGCCGCTGCGGCCCCGCTGCCTGCGGTGCCCTCCCCGCAGCGGGGAGCTGAGGGTATGCCCGGGGGGGCGGGGGTAGATTGCATCTCCCCCCTCCTATAATATATGCGTATTTTTGTATATGTGTGTGTGTATATATAGACATATATATATAAATATATGTCTATATATATTTACATCATTCTTAGGAGCCATTTTTAAGCTGGGGGGGCGGCGTGTGTGTGCGGCCAGGCTGCCTGGGGGAGCCGGGCGGGCAGCGAGCGGTGCGCCCCGCAGAGCGGGGAGAGCGGCGGGGGCTCTGCGGGGACACACACAGCCTCGGCTGCTCCGCCGCAGCTCTGCCGGGGCGCGGAGGGTGGGAGGGCGACTGCAATTTTAATTTTTTTAGGACGATACGCATTTCTGTGGGAAACTTCTGTAGGCGGCAGAGGCACGGTGGAGGGGGGCGGGCGAGGTGTGCGGCGTGGTGGGGCGCACCCCGAGCCCCCCTAGGGCCGTGCCCGCTCACCTGGGGGACACGACACCTGGGCGGTGCAGGGGCCCGGCCGGGGCTGCGCTACTCGCGATGGGGGGGTTATCCCCTTATTCCCCCCCCCCCCCCCCCCCGCCCCAGGCCGTGGCTTCTGCAATGCGGTGGGTGTGGTTATGCACGGAGCACATCGCAGCCCCGGACCGCTGCAGTGGCAGCACCGCGCCGGCCCCTCCCGGCCGGCAGCGAGGGGCCCCGCCGGGCCGGGCTGCCCCGCTCCGCCCCGCGCTGGAGGGATCGCGCGTCCCTGCCTGCCTGACCCGGCGCGGGCTCCCAGGTGCTCGGCAGCGCGGCCCGGACGCTGGAACCTCTCACTCTTCCCCATCCCTACTCCTGGCCCCGCGGAGCGCGGCGTGGAAGTGTCGGTCTCGGCCAGGTCTGTGGGGAAAGGGGAATAGAGAAGCCGCGGGTGCGACCAGCGTGAGGGCTGAGCGGGTCCGTCTCTGCTCCCGCATCCTGGGTGCGGCCCCACGCCCTTGGGCTGCCAGAGGGACCGGGGCGGGTCGGTGGAAAGGGATTTGGTCTTTTTCGGTTGTCCCATTTTTCATTCAAAGGCGAAACTTTACATATAGCAAGAAGCTTAAAAACTTGCACTCCTGTGAAAATCGCAATGGCAAATCATCCCTGTCTGGCCTTGTGCTGTCTTGATTTAATTTCTCTTGGGGCTGTACTGGAAGAGGAAAGCGCTGGGTCAAGGCGGTTGTTACTCTCACTACTGTTCTCCGGCGTGTGCCCCTGTTTGAGGCAGAGATGGAAACTATTTCCTCCATTGAACATGCACGTTGCTTCGAAGTTGAAGGGAAACTATTTACAATGTTAGAGGTCTTTCCTGTCAAAATGATTGCAAGTCAGAGGCCCGCTTGCCAAAAGAAAAAAGAAAAAAACTCTAGGTTAGGTGTGTCTCATGCGCATCTGTTCTTTTACAGCCTGGTGAGCTGAGTGATACCTTTTTGTTTTACTTTTGGTGTTGTCAGCAATTGGCTCTGTCCATAGAAAGCTGAAAGGTTTGTATAAATAAAGCAAGTATTATTAAATCCCATTAAAAATGAGAATATATGCAAACTACATAAGGCTTGGACCAGTAAAGGTCAGATGCAGTTGAATGTATGCTTTTTCTCTAATTCTATGGAGAAGAGTCCTTTCACAGAGTATTAAAAGGTCAAGATCATCATGCTGCATCACTGACATTGTTAAATTCACTGGTCTTGCTGCACCTCTGAGTGTGTACATGCATAATAGACTATAGGCAAATAGTGCTATGCTGGTCTGCTTGGGTTGGAAAGTTTCAGCTCTAGTGTGAGGATGAGATCTGCATGGCAATCAGGGGAGGAGAGGAGAGCCTGAGAGCACTGCATTGGGGTAAGAGCTGCTGGAAGTTTATTCCTTATGGCACTGCATGAACGAGAAGGCTCCTTAAGCTGCTGGCATGCTGTGGACCTGCTTGCTGCAGCAGGGAACATGAAACACATCGGGAAACATTAAAAATACACTGGTTCTGTTTTATCAGACCAGTACAGCCCCGGCCTCTTCCCTCACTAATTGCCTGCAGTCACATCCCTCTGTTAGTGGTGCAGCTGATGGCCTTTTCTCCCCAAAGGCTTCCCCATAGGACGAGGATCTGGTCGGATGCGCATCAGGAGCTCATCCCATGGGAGCCCGCTGCTGCGGTGGGCAGGTTTAGCCTTGAGGAGGAGCAGCGGGGGAGGGGGGGCGCAGGGTGTGGCACCCATCCCCAGCCTCCCCCTGCGCCTCAGCCTCGGCAGCTCCTCGCTGGCAAGGGCTGTGTCTATCTGCTGGAGAGCTGCACCAAAACTGCTGGAGAGGGCTGCTTTTGGGTTGGGGTTTTGTTCTCTCTTCCGAGAAGGAGCAAGTGAAGGTGAAGTTACAACTTACGTAATTTTTCATTTAATCAGGATGAAATCTTTTATTGTCTGTAGTGGAAACCTGCTGAATATTTAGTCTTTAATGATAAATAATTGTTATTCACAGATTTTTCTGTGAAATCCAGGAAGGGGTAGGTAATAGTAGATTTGTCCCACAGCAACATGGTCGCACCTATGTTTGTTATGTTTGCTGTTTGATGCGTGGTTGTGAGTTCCGTGGGGGTTATGCATGGTTGTTTTCTTAAAATATGAAAAATGTCACTTTTTTTGCATTTCAGGCATGATTTTGAATTAACAGAAAGTTCTTGAAATGTGTTAAATGTGTTATTCACGGTGGGTGACATTCAGACTTGTTTCATGGAAATCTCATGTACCAGTAAATGACTGCTTGTTGTCTGAGGGAAAACGTCAAACCATTTATAAGTGGTTATAAAAGGCTTCTTGTCTCACATGAGTTGAACCATCAGCTTAATTTCTTGGGCTATGGCATTTTCAACACAAAAGTGTGAAACTATGTGACTTTGTCACATCAAAATACATCCTTGGCTGAGAATGTGTGTATAGTCAGTGCATGTTTAATATAAGTTGGGCTTTGAAAACAAAGGGTCAGTCTATGCAGGGAGGGCTGTTGTGAGTCTGCAGGATTGTGTTTTTTCAGTCTATATAGCATGGCCCTAGGATTTTGTGATTTAGCATCTTATTTATCACATTTTTACAGGAAATATGTCTGCAGGGTTTGAATGTTCAAAGTGTTTTGTTCAAACAAAATTTCTCTCTAATCAAGTGAGTATAAATGGATGCATATAACTGAAAAATATGATTGCTGTCAACTAAGCTGAAAATTAGACTGACAAAGTGTTTATTCTGGATGATGAATTGTTTCTATTTTGTACAAAAGTTGTACATCATAAGAGTGTTACCCAGAACTAGACTTAAAGAAGCATGGCTAAGCAGTTTGAGTCAGTAGCATAAAGGAAGTCTTTAAAAGAGATGATCCACTCATGAAGAAGAATGATAGATTAGCTAGCTTTTATAACATGTTCCTCTAAATTTTCAATCTTGAGTGTTAGCCGTTTATAATGGCTGGGTCCATTATAAATGGTCCAAGTCTAAATGAGTATATGGACACATAGCACTGGCACTCTCAATAGCTGGCTTGAAACACCCAAAGAAAAAGGCTTGTTTTCTTTGGGAAGATCTCTATTTCTTAAAGGGAACAGCCCAGGTAGTAGAAGAGGACCATGAGCACTTTCTGTGACTTCAGGAAGAGAAAACCTACATGCCCTTTGCTCCCTCCCCTGTCACTCTCAATCATTTTCACCATCACCATCAGTGCAGAGGAAGCTTGAGAGGATTGCTGAGGACTGAGTACCTCTGGAAAAGCAGAAATGGGTCAGTATTTGGGACAACTGAGTTAATCTGAGACAGTGTGCTGTATAGACAATAAAATCAATATCTCCTGTACCCTTCCTGAGTATTTGATATAATACAATTTGAGTAATTGTCAGCTTTTTGTCTCTGGAGGAAAATGAAATCTTTACATTTTACTTCATCTTTGTATCAGCAGAGCTGGCTGTTCTTGTATAAAGCGGGTAAAAGCAAAAAGGTTTTTTTTTTTTATTAAATCCTGAACCTATTTGCATCCTATGGGATGCAGTACATGAAAGAATATTACATAAATGAAAGTTTTAAAAGTACACAGAACAAAAAAATAAAATGGGGAAGGCAGCTTTTCTACGTAGACCTCATCAATTTTTATCCTTTCCTTTATAGATTTTGGAAATACTTTGTATGCCACAGATTGAGACTCCTTTCCAGTGGCTTCACTATCTATCCAAACTGATCTGTTGGCAAGATGAGAAACAAAAGAAGTACAGAAATCTGCATGAGGATCACCCACCAGATGTTTGATCCCATTGAGAAAAGTCTTTCAGTTTAAAGGGTTAAAGAAGAATGTGGAAGCTGGGGACTTGGAGCATGTGTTAGGGATAAAGGGCTAGAATAAATGGAAAACACATGTGAATATAAAAAAAAAAATCAGGAAGGGTAAGGGAATGTGAAGAGAAAAAAGCAGGATACAATTTTGAATACCTGCTCATGTGCGAGTATTTGTATGAAACAGATGTTTATTGGCAAATGGATCAGGAGGAAGCAGTCACAGCATTGCTCTATTAGGTGAGACTTGGAAGAAGAAAGCTCCTGTGTGGAATAGATAGTGGCTGATGATTCTAGTTTAGGGCTATGTTAAAATTGGGACTACCAAAGTGTAGCATGTGTCCATTGTCTGGCTTTTACGGCAGCCTTTTTCCCAAAACAGGAGTTTTTTGGGTTTTTTTTTTTTTTTTTTTTGTTCCCAGATGGGCTGCAGGTACCAAGTGAGTGAATAATTTGAGGTGGCAACAGCTGACCCTGGTGGGCTTTTATTTGGAGCCCTGTTGATGAACGGTGGGATGTTCATGGGAGAGAGGCAGGGAAAACACCTGCAAGGCAAGACTAGGGCAAGCTGCACACAGGTTTTCTTCTGCTCTGTAGTTGTGTCCTGCTCCTCTAGGCAGGGTCTTGCCTATCGCTCCCCCTGCATGTCCCCTTTCCCTGGCTGCAATCACTGGCTGGGTCCCCCTGACTTCGGGCTCCTTGGTGGAA